AAATAATAATACACACATACACACAGAAACAAAGACACACACACACACAAAACCTTTACTTTCCACATTTTTTCCATGTCTATATATGTGTGTGTATACACACATACACAGCCTTTACTTTCCACATTCCACATTCTTTGCACACAAACAAGCATTTTCCATTAAGTTTTTAAGACTGTAATGTCCCTATTGCCATAAAATAAAAGCAACATAGAGCAAGATACGGCCTCAGATGTTCAACTGGGAATATGTATAAATACTGTGGATTGAATTAACTCTAAGTTTTACCCAGAAGATCACTATGTAGTTGTGATTGGTAACACAGTCAGCCAGATATTTAGACTGAATTTGGCATTTTTATCCACCCTGTCGAGTCCTTCCCAAGCACATGAGATTGTCTGTGCCTCTATTTGTCCTATTAATCCCATGTAAACCTATGGATTACAATTAATCTGGGTGATCAACAATATTATTTGTATTACAATATATTATAAAAAACTTATGATATTAGTTATTAATAGTGCTAAATTGTCTTATTTGTAGAAATGTTATTTGACTTGTGTCTGCATCAGAAATAACTTCCAGGGAAATGTGTGTTTAGAAAAATGTATTGATTTCCCCTTAGGAGAGAACAATATATGTATGTAAGAGAATAAAAAAGGGCCAATTTCATTCTTTTCATTGCAGTTATAGCCATCGGACAGAAACAAATAGATTCCTTCTCTCAATGTGTAAAAATTATGTGTATCTTTTCTATGCGTATATGTAGAACTTCCCTTGAGAAGTATTCACAGTTGCGATTGGTGTAAAATCAGGTCGCTAGGTTGTTTATAGTTTCAAAGGATGTGTATCATATAATGCCTCCATTCTAAGATCAGCATTTATTAATAATCCAGTACAACCAAAATGATATTGTATGCATTATGTCAATAAGTGTGCAAATGGCATCATAACACAAATTACATCACTTGCTAGCTCTTGCTCCCTCAGCAGTTTTCCAATTGTCTGTGTTGGTTGCCAACTGCTTAGCACAAGGGTCCCCAACCCCCGGTCCGCGGACCAGTACCGGGCCACGGCATGCCAGCAACGGGGCCATACAAACAAGCAAAGCCATATCCACGAGATGCAGGCAGCACACAAAACCATGCACCCTCCGGTCCGCAGAAAAACCTCTCTCCACGGAACCGGTCCCTGGTGCCTAAAAGGTTGGGGACCTGTGGCTTAGCAGATACAATTTAAGAAGTTAGTATGAAGCTCTGAAGTCTTATTATTTAATGATTAGTTTCTTTTCTTACAAATCTATCCAGGAATTATACTCTATAGGAGAGGCTTTTTCAAAAACATGCTTCCATGGTTATAGCCCTGTCTTTCCAACATGTGGAAAAAGTCCTTCTCCTGGATTGTTTGCAGGGCTTTTCTCTCTTAATTTATACAAATAAATTAAAGCCCAGCAGTAGCACTGATTCCAACTTGCTTGCAAATAATCCCCCCTCCCGAAGATTTCATTGAAGAAATCCAGAGGGATTTTTTAAAAACTGGATATAAGAATGTAAAGCAATATTTGTACTAAAGCAGTTAAGCTGTTTGTAAACATGTCTTTCCTGGATCTTAATTTAAACAGGACAAAGAAAACGTTTTGTTGTTCTTCCTGGGATTTGACTTAATTCAAAATGGGGCAACAAGTTAAAAAAAAAAAAACCCTACCATGTGTTTCTTTTTTAATTAGCTAATAGGTATGCAGGTTAAATCCAGAAAAGATTTGGAAAATTAGTTCAAAATAAGTGTCTTAAACTGCTCCTCTCGTTCTGTTTGAAAATTATTTGGTTTTTTTTCTCACTCTTTTTTCCCTTTGTTTTTCAATGATTGACTCTGCTTTGAGGGAATTCTAGGTTCAAAGCACCCTTTTGCATAAAAAACACTCTTGAAAGCATAATTTCATTTACTGTTGGCTTGGAACTTGTGATAAATGAGCCCTTGCTAGTAAAGTGATGGTGACATAGCATGCTGGCCGAGTTTGTATCAGAACAGTTAGAGAATGAATGTGGCCATCAACTTTGCTAAGAGAAAAGCTCACTTATTTCTTGATTCTGTTTGTGTAAATGGAGAGTGTGCATTTTTGTAGGATAGAATCTCTTATTTAGATGGATGTCTCTTAGGCACATCCTATCTCTGATATGGGTTACTTATGGTTAATGAATAATTCACATTAATGGATGGTCAATGGATAAAACACATTAATAGTCACACAAAATGTGTTCAGATGTTTAGGAATTGCAACGCCCAGGGATTGAACAAAACATTTGGCAAAATCAAATGAGCCAAATTAAGGTTTAATGGGATACAGTATGCCAATTCAGTCTTCTAGTGAATGGGGGTCTATGGAGATTCTCTTTTTTTTAACAATCTTTTTTTATTATTTTTTTTTCCATCAACATATGTTAATTTTTCCAATCAAACAAGTTGTCTAGTGTTTGCTAAGCTAATACATGTTCACTTCCTAATCCTTCAGTCTTTTCTCTAACCAAGAATAGAATAAATTCCAAATTTTATAATAGTCCATATCTTCTTTGTCTTTCAGCCTCATAGTTAGTCTGTCCATCTCTGCACATTCCAATATTTTCATGATTATTTCTTCTTCTGATGGGAATCCTTCATTCTTCCAGTACTGTGCAACAATTATTCTTGCTGCTGTGGTAATATGTAGAATTAAATATAATTTCTGCTCATTGATCTTTTCAGACATAATGCCTAGTAAAAGAAGTTCAGGTTTAAAATCCACTTGTTCACCCAATATTTTTTCTAACCACATATGTATGCTTTCCCAACAAACCTTTGCCTTCCCACATGTCCACCAAATATGGTAATACGTGCCTATATTATGTTTACATTTCCAACATCTATCTGACATATTTTTAATTCTCAATCATCCAGGTCATAGTTATCCCAAAGGTGCTTTTTCACAGGGCAACTAGACTTCCTTGTTTTTCTTTGATGTTTCACTTCTCATCCAAGAAGCTTCTTCAGCTCTGACTGGATGGTGGGGAATGGAAAGATTTATAATGAATGGGTGTACTATTTTAGATTTCTGGTGTAGATGTGGAAGGGGATGTGGACAAGTAACAATGGTTGGAAACTGACCAAAGAGAGAAGCAACCTGGAATTAAGGAGACACTTCCTGACAGTGAGGACAATTAACCAGTGGAACAGCTTGCCTCCAGAAATCGTGGATGCTCTATCACTGGAGGTTTTTAAGAAGAGACTAGACAGTCACTTGTCTGAAATAGTATAAGTTCTCCTGCTTGAGCAGGGGGCTGGACTAGAAGACCTCCATGGTCCCTTCCAGCTCTATTCTATTCTATTTAAAAAGCACATTTGCAAGTTGTGAAGTTTATCTGGAGAATTGGAACGAGGATTTATAAGCTTCATCTGAAAATTTGAATGAACACCAGACATCATATGTGAAATTAAAATTGCCAGAGTTCAGCAATTTTATGCAAATAATTAATGTGACTTAGAAAATGGTAGAGAATACAGGTAGTCCTCAACTTATAACCTCAATAGAGCCCCAAATATCTGCTGCTTAGCAAGGCCCTTGTTAAGTGAGTTTTTGCCTCACTTTACAACCTTTCTTGCCATAATTGTTAAGTGAATCATGTGGTTGTTAAGTGAATCTGGCTTCCCCCATTGACTTTAATAATAATAATAATAATAATAATAATAATAATAATAATAAAGTTGGAAAGGACCTTGGAGATCATCTAGTCCAGTGTTCCCAAACTTGACAATTTTAAGGCATGTGGACTTCAACTCCCATAATTCCACAGCCAGCGTTGCTGGCTGTGGAATTCTGGGAGTTGAAGTCCTCATGCCTTAAAATTGTCAAGTTTGGGAAACACTGATCTAGTCCAACCCCCTGCTCAGGCAGGACACCCTACACCATTTTGGACAAATGGCTGTCCAGTCTCTTCTTAAAGACTTCCATTGTTGGAGCATTCACAGGTTGTTCCACTGATTAATTGTTCTAACTATCAGGAAGTTTCTCCTTAGTTCCAGGTTGCTTCTCTCCTTGTTAGTTTCCACTCGTTGCTTCTTGTCCTGCCTTCAGGCGCCTTGGAAAATAGCTTGACTCCCTCTTCTTTGTGGCAGCCCCTGAGATATTGGAAGACTGCTATCATGTCCCCCCTCATCCTTCTCTTCATTAAACTAGACATACCCAAATTCAGCAACCGTTCCTTATATGTTTTAGCCTCCAGTCCCCTCTGCTTCTTAGAAGCTGGCTAGAAAGATTAAAAATGATGATCACATGACCCTGGGACTATGCTCCAATTTTGATCACATGAGGGGATGCTGCAGTAGTTATGTGTGTATGAAAACTGATCACAAGCCACTTTTTGCAGTGCCATTATAACTTTAAACAGTCACTAAATGAATGATTGTTAAGGACTACCTGTAATTTAAAATGGGAACTGATATTGCAGGAAACTTGTTTTAACTTTATGACAATTAATATAGCTAGGTACCAACTTCTAGTGTTCTCATCCTAGATTTGAAAGTACAAATGACTTACAAGTGATGTGGGCAGTAATAGATCTATATACTGTGAAGACCTTCTTCGTGGTGACTGACCTGAACATTTTTTAAGATTTTGTTTTAGATTCTTTACATTCTTTCCATTTTCTAAAAAAGTGAAAAGATTGAATGATTGTTTCAACCATAATCCTTATTTTGGTGAATGAGAAGGGTCTACATAAGCTTGGAGACATTACTGAAAAATAAAAATGAGAGATGATAATAAGTTGTTCAAAGTCAAAATAATATATAAAATTATAGAAGCATATAATCACTTACCTAATGAAGAACTCTCCGAAAAGATTAAAATTACAAAATCCAAATACAAATTAAAACTCAGTCAGTTTTTCATGAATAACCTTGACATCCTATTTTATTCTCTTAACTTTGCTTCATTATTCTGCATGTATGTCAGTATTTTTCATTTCAGCAGAATGAAGCTAGGGAACATCAATGTTTGTAAACAATATTTGTGTATCGTACAATATTAATTTCTGTTTAAAATAATTTAAAATAGTTATAAAATAATTCATTATTTATTTCTAGCTTTGAAAAGAGCAAATGGGTTAACATGCTGAGAAAACCCAATCAGAAAAGGACAGACACTTCATTACTTCTTTAAGGCTATTTCTACAAACATGTTACATGAATGGGTAATGTTTTTACTGCAGCAGTTAAGTGGTTTGCTGCTCAGAAGAAATACTTAGATTTAGCTTGACAGTTTTAAGAGTACTTAGGTATGTTTCTGTTTTTTTTCTTGAAAAATTAAAACATTGACAAGGATCAGCAACTAAACATAGGGCTATTAGAAATGAAATTAACACAGAGGCACCTTAAACAGCAGGAACAAATAACAGAATTGGTGGAATTAATAAAAGCTATCAATAGGTATTCAGTATTTGTGTAGAAGCCCAAATTTATAATTACATTATAAAATAAATTTAAAGGAATCCAGTCATTTTCCAAAAGAGTTTCCTCTTTAGGTCTTCCACCTTTCTTTTGACATTCTTACAAGTCATATATCTTGTTGGCGTTTTGCCTTAGAACAGCTAACATGGCAGGTAATGACCTTCTTTGAGGCAGGCAATCTCTTTCACTGTGTGCAGAGCTACTCCTGGATGTGAAAATTGGCTTACATGTTTTGGCACCTGTCGAGGAAGGAAATAAGGTGCATCTGTTTCTACCATTATTCTGTTTAATGGGATTTTTTGAACAGAATCTCTAACTTCATTTGCTGATGGATAAGACAGCAAAGCTGTGAATCCAACAGTTAGATTTGGAAAGTAGTCTAAAAGTGGTTCAATGACATTATAGCGGCCAGTGAAACAATGTCTGTGTATTTTGTAGTCTTTTGGTACACATTTTTTCATGATTTCTAACAGATCACCATCGGCGTCTCTGCAGTGAATGACCAATGGCTTCCTTAAGGAAACAGCTAGATTCAGTTGCCTCTCAAAAACCTCATGCTGTTTTGGAATTTCTGTATGGCATTTATAAGAGTAATCCAGTCCTATTTCACCAAAGGCAATAGATTTGGGGTGTCTCATTGCCTGCATGAGATTTCTTTCATGAAGATCTGTGTAATAACAAGCAAAGTGGGGGTGGCAACCAAATGCTCCCCAAACCATATCTTCCTTTAATAAATCTTCCCATAAGTTGTTTTTTAAAGTACGAGGATCACAAAAATCAGTTATGCAGCCCTGAAATTCTTTAGGAAAGGTGCTGCTGTATCTTTTCCTAAATTCAAAAAAAGTTCCTCTGAAAGATGTTTTTGAATATAACATGTCCAAATGGCAGTGTGTGTCAATAAAGCCGCCTTCTAAATATTTGGGCAAGCTCGTAGGCAAATCTTGGTCTACACAATTATTAGTGAAAGAATCTGACTTACATGATGAAGAAAAAAATGGGAACATATGTTCCTCTTTCCATATTCTGAGGTCTTTTTTTCTCTTTATAGTCCAATAAAGCACCATGTGGCCACACTCTCTCTTGCAGACGTTCCACTGAAGATTTTTTATCCTTTGGTGCATTTATCGTTCTTTCTAAAGAAATGTCATAGAGATTATTGGAATATGAAATGTTTTCAGTGGATCTTGTAAAAGAATGTGCTGGCATTGGATTGCTTGTCCGGTAATTTGTATAATCATTCTTTTTCTGACTGTGGAAATGAGGAGGATACATCACAAATTCTGTTGTTGGTGCTGACATTTCCATCATTTCTGAAAGTCTGCGATTAGGGATGGAATCTTCTCGTGAAAAGGCAACCAGTGGTTCTCCATCTTCCATGTTTTGCTGTTTTGTGCCAGCGCTAAAGATTTTTACAAGAGGCTTCTGATTGTTGCTATTCTGCTTGGTCTCTTCACTTTCATATTTTGAATCTTCAGAGACCAATCTCCAATGGGTTTCTGATTTCCAATATTGTTTTTTACTTTGGCTATTCCAATCAGAAGTTTTACCTAACTGTTTAGAAGAGACATGGCTATTTTTTTGTTCTCCAATTTCTGAAAAGCTGAACTTGCTTTTAAGTCTGTGTTTGGACTGGTAATTTTCTTTCCAAAACATTTTATTCTGAACGTCCATTTTCTCTTTTACTGGAACCTGTGAGTCATTTGATCCCTGATAAAGTTCATTTTCATAACTTGATCCTGTATGAACATACTTGGAAGTAATCATTGGCTTGGAAAGTTCTCTTATGCTATATTTAGCATTCTTTTCTGTTTCTGTAACAGGCTTCTTAATGTTGGAAATCTGCTGAGTTTCCAATTCATGTTCAGGTCTTGATAGTTTATAACTTTGTTTTGAGTCAAGTGTTGGTTTGGAATCTTCTTTAACACCATCTCCAGAACTTTTATTAGTTTTTGTAACAGCTTTCTCATTGTTGGGAGCCTGTTGAATATTTTTTTTATCCTTTGGTGTGGATACTTTTGCTCCTGAACTTGACATAACAGATTCATGTCTTGAATTGGCACCTGACCAATTCTTTATTGTCTTGCTTGACAGAAATAGTATGTTCCTTTGGTGCAGTTTTCAAATAATGTGAATTGTTTCCAATTTCTTGACCTCTGCTTTTTGGTACTGCTGAAAATTCTCCCAGGTTGTTAAGTGGTTCCTCTTTTCCAGAAGAGCTTTCTTTATGAATTTCATTTATAGATGAAATTTTTCTTCTGGTTTGCAATTGTCCCCCAAATACACTCAACAGAGCTTTCTGATATATTATTCGAGACCCTTCACCCTGATCTTGACCTTTTATTCTTTTCTGGACACGTTCTGCAGACTTTTCTTTTAAGGCACTTTTTTTTTCAGGGACAGGAGTGGTGTTTGTTCCTGTATCTCTATTATCTTCTTGCTTAATCTTCAATTTCTCAGATTCCTGGGAGGAAAATGCCATGTTTGTCACAGACTTATCAGAAACCGGGTGGGGCGGGGGGCTTTATAAGAAAGCTTTTGCTGGGGGCAAGATGGTCTTGGCCTTCCTTAGCAATACTGCTAATGGCATCATCTAAGTTCAAATTCATCAGAAGAACAATCGCCGGCAGCGAACGAAGTTCGGGAAAACTACTTGCGCGGAGCTGCTGGGGAGACTTTCTTGAAAGCAGCCGTCCTTCCGCCACCGGGACTCGCGGGGGAAGGCTGGAAGCGCTTAGGGAGGCTTGCGGAATTTCGCAGGGGACTTACAGCGAAGCTGTCCCGCTCGACTTCGCGTCGCCTGCTTGGCTGCCTCGATGCTAAATTGTCCTCTCCCAGGCGTTGGAAGTGGCCTCTGTCGCCGCTAAGTGTGCCGCTCATTGATTTGTCCCAGCTGCCCCCTCTGCGTCTCTTTCCCTTGATGACTCGACCCGCTGGATCTGCTTCCGATACCTTCCCGCGCCCTCTTCCCGTCGCGTGTTCTGCCCACGTCCAGCTGTCGCGGCTTCAAAGCACCGGGAGGAGGCTGTCACCAGGTCGGCCTGCCCGGTGCTTTGCTGGGAAGCCCGATTACCCCGGCCAAGAAATGGCTAAGAGTAGACTACGCCACAGTAGCCAAAAGTACCCTAAGGTAATAGAAGACTAACGGAGAACAACTCCCAGTTTATGTTGAAACAGTATTGCGTGATGGGCATCTACCACCTTGGTAGCTGTTGTGGCTTTGAACATGCCCCCTCCCCCAAGCAGTATTTGTGAAAGTGCACACTCTCAAAGTTCCAACAACCATGCTGGATCAGGCTACGAACTCTCCATTCCTCACAGTGCTAAACCAAACACAAGTTAAGATGGAGGAATTCATTAACCTTTAATAAATAAAAAATATTGTAAGAAGTACTAAGAAGCAATTACACAAATATTTCCTATAACTGCAAGGTATCAAATACAAGCTCTGCTTACACCAGTTCAGCTTTGTATTTTTTCTGCCTGTTCTTTGCAAAGGATTAAAAGTAATTTTCTTCTTGCCAGAAGATATAGTTTCCACCAGTTCTTTTGGTTTGGTAGCCTCTTTAGGTGGTATCTTTACCAAGAAGTTGTTCCTTTTAATTGTGAGAGAATTAATATTCACAACTGCCAAATCTCTGTATATAAAAAGAGCTAATTTTGGAAAAGAAGAAATAAGAGGGAACTTACAAATGAATTTCAAGTTAAAAATAAAGACAGTTCAAATTAAAACAATTACATATCATTTTCTAAACAAAATAACGTGTGAAGAGAGTGACACGAAAGAGGCATCTTTGCATTTTGATTAACTTTGTTCAATTGTCTCTTTCTCTAGTTGTTTGGAGTGCTGCTATTTCTGTGTGGTAGAGAGATATTTACATCTAAGAAACTTTATATGGCTGTCCAACTTTCTCTCAGTAACTTGGGGCAGCTTGCAAAGATAATAACCCAATATAAAAAACTAAAAATTAAAAAAATAAAAATAAGTAAAAACCAGTCCCTTAAGGGGACTGATCGTTGCTTTACATAATTAAATGAGATCCTCTGGTCACAGGTCCACCAAGCCAATAACAAAATTACCTGTTGGGGGTATGCACTTTCCCAATAGTTGAATAATAAAGAAGCTGGTCAGTTCTGATGTAATGGTGTGTGAGAATGATCTTAAGAAACTGGGTCCAAAGAGACTGCTAGAGAATGGTCAGATAAGAAACAGCATAGTCTGTAGTTGGAGAATGGGTGGAACAAGGGACTCAGAAAAGACCTTCCCTAATTTATTCAGTTATACTTTCAGACTTGCAAGATTCTATTAATATAGCCTTATAACGAATGGTGGGATTCAAATATGTGAACAACCGATTCTCTGTATGGATGCCACTTCCAGAAGTCCATTCTGGGCCCGGGCAACAAAAAAATTAGCTACTGGTTCTGTTGAAGTGGTGTGAACTGACTGAATCCCATCACTGCTTATAACAAAGCAGAAATAGCTCATAAAGCAGAAATAGCTTGTCTGGATAACCAGTAAGGTTGACAACTAGTGTGACTAACAAAAAAGATTATACTGGAAAAGCTTACTAAGAAACAAAATATGAGTTCTGATCCTTTAAGGCCTCCCAGCAATGTGGCAGTTTAATAAATATGGCTGATAAGCCATCAATACATTATCCAGAGTCATTAGGGATGGCCATATAAATTTGATGAAGGAAGGAAGGAAGGAAGGAAGGAAAGAAAAGAAAGAAAGAAAGAGAAAGAAAGAAAGAGAAAGAAAGAAAGAAAGAAAGAAAAAGAAAAGGCAGTGTGGTGGAGTGGTTAACATGTTGGATTTGGAATGGTTCTAGGACTCAGATCCTAGTGCACCTTCATTCATGGGAATTCATTGGCTGGCAGGACAGCTAGTGACTCTCAGCCAGACTTCTTTTACAAGTTGTTGTGGGAAGAAGTAGAGCAGAGAGAACGGTAATAAAAGAGAATACAGCTAGCTCAGGGCCACAATGTGGAATTCTTGGTATTGAATGAGCCTGTTTATTTGCAGATGTTTCATTACCCCACTACATATCATCATCGGTGCATAGTATTGCATGGCAGTGCTGATGTTATTGATGATGATGGGTAATGAAACATCTACAACCATGTACGTGTAATGATACGTGGGAATGATTTTAAGGAGACCAGGGGAATGGTCAGATGCAGCTTAGTCCAAAAGAATGTGGATGTGACAAATGTCTCGGAACAACACAAACACACACACACCCCACCCAACTTCTTGGGCTGTAAAGGCATCAGAGAAGAAATGCACTTTCAGACTTGCAAGATTCTATTAATATAATCTTAAAAATAAAGTAGAATTAGGTCATCTGGGCGTGCTTTCCTTCTGAACTGCCTCATAAGATTGAAAGAGTTATCAACTTGATCTCCTGAATAAAAGGTGGGATATAAATCTAATAAACAAGCAAATAGATTTTGGCAGAGATCCACAATTACTTCCTTTCACAGACTGAACTTATAATCCTCAAGTTATGACCACAGTTGTGACCAAAAATTCCATTGCTAAGCAAGGCAATTGTTAAGTAAGTTGTGCCTGATTTTATGACTTTTCCTGCTACTGTTAAGCAAATCACTACAAATCATGTAGCCCATTATAAGAATCCAGCTTCCTCCATTGACTTGGCTTGTTGGAAACTGTCTGGGAAGGTGGCACATGGCGATCATGAGACCCCAGGATGCTGCAACCATTGTGAACACACGCCTATTGCTAAGCACTCAAATTCTGATCACGTGACTGTAGGAATGTTGCAATGGCTGTAAGTGCAAGAATCTACCTTAAGTCACTTTTTTCAGTGCCATTGTAACTTCAAACAGTTGCTCAGTGAATAGCTGTAAGTTGAGGACTACCTGTATTGCTGTTTTTTGATTGTATTGTCAATATGTAGGCTTCCCTAGGAACATTTAGCGATGGGAATCATTGTTTAAAAAAATGTAATCAAATTTAAAATCTTCCCATCCACATGATTTCCTGTCAGTTGAGAAGCTCATAAAAAGCCCATTTCAATTGTTTACAAGTGTCAGAACTGGAATAAAATCAAATATTAAATTATGAGATTATAATTCACCATGATTTTAAAAACTGAAAACACTCCTCATTAATACATATTTAGGAAGTCCTACTTTGTATCCAAAAATGTAGTAATAGAATAATGCAAAAAGAGAATCTTACTATTCCTCTCCCAGCTGTCTTTTCACTCTCTTGATAATTTTTTTTTTAAAAAACTTTCTTTTTGTGAAGGATTGGCTAATTGAAGATCAAAGGTGTTAACACTTGGTGACCTGGCTCTGTGCCAGTCAGATAATTATGGTCTGCCACTTTGAATCCCACTGTAGTTTCATTATTAAGATCAATTGTTGTGTCCAAATAATTGGAATACCTTTCTATCTAAAGTCTTTTATTATCTTAGGTAAGTTTTTCCTGACATCTATTTTAGCCTTGCTACAAAATGCATTTACGTTTGGATTCATATATTCAAGAATAATCAAACACTTGATACCATGTTTGTGGGGTTGTACCAATTTCAAAAGGTAGCTGAGTGACAGTAAGATTGATCACCAATGTCAAAAAGTCCACATAATGTTAAGGAGAATGTAGACGATTTGCCCATGGTATGCTCTTGTTAAGGAGACAGGTGTTAGAGAATTCAAAGTAGGGATCCCATTAATTCCTACAAAAAGCCCCAGGGCTGATCCTTGTATATCCATTTCAGACAAATGCCCTAGTAAGTGAATATTGCTTCAATAAGGCTCTGATCTGGACCTCCATTTTACATGTGGATATTGGGAATCACAGAATTTTGCAATGATGAATTGGCAGTACAGAAATCCAATATACAGAATAATGCAGTGCAAAGAGACAACAATGTGGGACATCTCTTTGATGTGTTCAAAATATGCATTTATTGCTAGAAGATTACTTAAAGAGTCTTCTTAGTTATAAGATGTACAATATAGAGGGCTCTTATGGCTTCACCATTCTAAATTTTTAATGTCTATATTAAAAACTAAGGTATCCATAAACAGTAAAAAAAAGTCAAGATGGTGGCTGTGACCACATGGCTGAAGCCCTGCTCATTTTTATATATATTTAAAAAAGAGGCAAGCTTCAACAATGTAGTAATATCTGCCATCTTCAAATTTTTAATCCCCCAGGGATGCACTATTTAAAACCCTCCTTAGTATTATTCTATAACGATATATAGGAATGACCATCGGGGACAGGGCAAAGAAACGCAGTTAAGGGAATAGTGAGATAAAAGGCTACGTATCTCTTGGTAAGAATGTGGGCAGGGCATATAGCTCATAAAGGACCCTCCCTCGTTTCTTGGGCTGTAAAGGGGACGGAGTGAGGAAAGAAATATCCTTTTAGACTTGCAAGAGTGTAACATTACAATAAAGTGTAATATTTCCTGTCTTATAAGCTGATGTATGTTTCCTCTTCATACTGTAGGTTAAGTGAGAAAAGGCAGACAGTTGCTATCAGATTCATCCTTTGCAGAGACCTTTTGAAAACGAGTCTGAAAAGCGGTTCTACATAAAATCAGACTGAGGGCTAGACTTCCAGGGTGGAAACATGGTGGACCAGCACCTCTCCAGACAATGGGGACTATTCAGAGGCAAACATGGAAGCTGGGCAATGTATCAAAGAGAAAAGAGCTTTTTTCACAAGAAGAAAGCTGCAAGATTGGCCACTTCAGCTTTGCAGGGCAGCGCCTCACAAGGAAACCTACAATCCATTTCTCTAAAGCACATTTAGATGGAGAAAATTTAAAGAGACCTTCAAAGCAGCAGAACCCAAAACCACCCAGATAAATGTACCTTCAACCAATGGGAATGGTTAAATAGTAAGTAAATCACTATTGATTAGATTGAGGGATGCCCATTCTGTTTTAAGCAAACTGAAATGATTTGTATGGAATAACAAACCAGCTTGGTGACTTTGGACCAGTCACTCTCTCCCACCACAGAGGGTTGTTTGGAAAAATAATAAAAACGGGATAGAAATAAAATAATAATAAAAAAGGTAAAGATTTCCCCTGTGTCTGACTCTATGTGTGGTGCTCATCTCCGATTCACAACCAAAGGGCCAGCATTGTCCAAAGATGCTTCCATGGTCATGTGACCAACATGACTATATGTTGAGGCGCATGGAACACTGTTAACCTTCTCACCAAAGTGGTTCCTATTTATCTACTTGCATTTACATGCTCTAATTAACTAAGCAACTAATCAAAAGAAGATTCAGACTACCATTTATGAAGGAGATCCACAGTAGCTAAAATTTCCCAT